GGGGGGGCTAAGAAACCCTAGCCCTTACGACCACGTCTATCCGTACATGCAGCAAATTGAAACTATTCATTTGTATTGCTTTTTTTCTCCGCCGTGTAACAGTACAAAAAAAAAAAAAAAAAAAAATTCAAAGAAATGCCGAGACCAGAGTTTTATTTTCACGTTGAAGTGATAACATCCAGGTGAATTATAATCAAGTAAATGAGAGATGTTACGTACATTCGCCAAATTCATCGATTTTGACGATCAGCATTTCATTTTTTCGAGTGAACTTATACTGCAATAAAAGTCAATTGAATATAACATTTAAAATACAAAGTTTAACTTTTAGTAATTTCCCATACACAGCAGCATTACTTTGGTTTAAAAAGAATGAAATGTAAAAATCTGGAGAAATTGTCTGACAATCGTAGCTAAAATCCTCTAACTTAAAAGTTCTTATATTGTTTCAATAATTTTTCTAAAGAGTCTCTTGTTTAATCGTGTAACTGTAAAAGCTAAAAAAACTTATCGGTAAAATAAGCAAAATACTACAAAATGTTGGACAGTTGTTTACAAGTCTGGAATGTAAGGTATTTAAATTCTGGGATAAAATGATGCAAGTTTTTAAAACTTAAACTACATAATCTATATGTTTAAGACCTTAGGGACTCTTTAAAATATTGTACATAGCTTGGGAGTAGACTGCAGGCTTACATGTAATCGTCCCCTTTAAAATAATATGTAAATCAACTTTAAAGCTCTTAGATGACCATTCAGACATTTGATACTTTCATGAAATTAAAAGTAAAATTCAACAAAGAATCTCAGGTATGAAATATTTAACAATCTCTGTTTAGTCTTAATCCATTTCCATGTATTTTTAACATAAAATTTTTCAAATCCAGTTAAATCGAATGTTACCATCCTGCTTGTAATGAAATCTCATTCTGCTTTTTTTTTCTCATACACTTTTAGTTATGGAAGCACTCATGAAATCTTGTATATACTTTTAGTAATGGAGGTGCTTATGAAATATATGTGCCCTTACTTATGGCCTTAAAAGAGATTGACATTTTGCAATTTGGATTGTACAAATCAAAAGTTTTAATTTTCAGAGAGGACCAAAAGTTGTCTTAAAAGCGCAGTACATGACCTAATCAAGGTAATTTGACCAATCTCAAATTCCACAATTCATGTGTTTAGCATTTCTGACTCAGTCGATTACAATCTTTCATCCCATTCTTCTGGTTCTTCATCAGGCTCTATCAGCGGTGATTTGCTGTGTCCAGGTCGAAGTTCCACTGCAAAGCTGTCATCAGCAGCAACCTCCTTAAGTCTTGGGTAGTTGCGACCCTTAATGCTGCCGCTCAATTTTCGCTGAGGCACATCATCCAACCCACGAGACACAGAGATGTTCTCATCTGTCACCTGACCACCTTGCTCCTTGTAGTGGATGTAGGCACGGTTCTGAGCCATTTCCTGCTTATCTGGCTTCTTGAACCTTAAAAATGAGCATGATGAATGTATAAAGATCTGTCAAGAAAATAAGAAAATAATCAAATTGCAAAGACGATTATGATGAAGGAAATATTATTTGTTCAGGGACAATGTTTATATTCCTAATTTAGGCCAGACCTCTTGAACTCTCAATTTCATATCTTGCGTACCAGTGCCACCAGCTGGATGCAAAAGTAACAAGCTTATGCTTAAAGCGAGTAGATCAAAACCAATCATATACTAGTCTCAGTGCTTACACAATGTAATTGAAAACAGAAGAGCAGGTAACTGAGAAGTAAATAATTTCAAATTGGTAACTGTTTGGTTACACTTCCTTTCAAAAATGCACCATTTCCTGTGAAAATACTTACAATTTTAGAAGCAAGGAGAGGCAGACGACCGACACTGAGGACATTGCCATGGCAACAGCTGCCATCCAGGGCTGTAGTCGGATGTTCACTGGAGACAGCAATCCTGGAATAACCAATGACACAATATAAAATCAGTTTATGAAGCTACATCAGTAGGGATTGACAATAATAATGATGAAAATGAATAAATTCTTATTAATTCTATATCAAATGATACAATTACTATGAATTTAAGAACACTAATAATTTATTTCTCTCAGGAATAATAATATCTATCAAATCACCTTAGAGACAGATAATGGAGAAAAAAAAATACTAAACTCATCCTTTGTGTAATATATGCTGAATCAAATCTATTTTGTTTACCTTTATTAAGACTAATGTAAAAATTACTTTGAATCTAGCTTAAAATACCATCCAAGTGATAATTGTCTAAATCTTAATATTTTCATGAACTTTGGAAGGATTTCTTGTCAACCAATTGTGACAGAGATGGCCAAGGAAAAGTACACATTTTCTCACCTGCTGCAATGGGGATTCCCAGCAAGTTGTAGACACAGGCAAAGAAGAAGTTCAGTCTGATTCTGAACACGGTGGCCTTGGACAATTTCAGTGCTATGATGACATCAACTAAATCATCCTACAAAACATTCATATTATACAAACAGTTTAAAAAAATTACTTTACAAATTACAGGTAGCAATGTAGTGGAAATTCATCCACTGATGACACTTGCTCAAATATATTAGTTACGCTGTAAAGATCATAAGTAAGAAAGAGTTAATCAATTAATTTATTTAGAATAATAACATAATTCCTTGACAGTTTTATTCAAATAAAAAACTAAGCCCCATATTAAAACAAAAATATAACTGAAACAAAAATATGACACCATGATAATAATATCTCAAATCTCATTCGAATATAAAATGAAGTCCAAAAATATAGCAGCTTTTAAAACAGAAAAAATATAGAGAAAAACAAATTTCACCTTCATCAGGACCAGATCCGCCGCCTCCACAGCCACATCAGTCCCGGTTCCAATGGCCACCCCCAGGTCTGCCTGTGCCAGGGCAGGGGAGTCGTTGACCCCGTCTCCAACCATAGCGACCTTGACCCCTGACCTCTGGAGCTGCTCCACTTTCTCCTTCTTGTGCTGTGGTAGCACCTCTGCAAACACCTTCTTTATTCCAACCTAGAAAACCAGAGAGGATAAAAAAAGGAGTTAATAGATATAATTCAAAAACGTTTTTGTTTGGTTTTCCCTTTCAGGATGCCGAAACCTTTGGAAGAAGGATTTTTAGTAAAACCACCTATGCGTAAAATGTTTCCGTTGCAGTGTGGGAATAACTTCATTCAATCAAATAAACATCATCAATAAAAAAAAATAAATAATAATAATAATAATAATAATAATAATAATAATCAATTACTATTAAGCTCATACATAAAAATATAAAACAAAATGATCTCTAAAAATAAACGCAATATTTGTTAAAACATTTATGCAATAAGTTTCCAATTAAACATAAAAAGCTGCAGATAATACTACCTTCTTAGCAATGGCTGCAGCAGTCTTGACATTGTCTCCTGTTAACAAGTAGACATCCAGTCCCATCTTCTGCAGATAATATATGGCCAGGTGAGCCTCTTCTTTCAC